CAATTCTTACCTTTCCTCCGTGATCTCCCGATGCCTCCTGTTTGTATTCCTGAACATCCTGTCATTTAGATAGAATGCCAGTGAAACTACGGAATTTCGTCCTAACAGAATGAAAACAGTTTCTCTATTCGTGTTAGGACGCTATTCGGGAAATTTTTCGGTTCGGAATTTTATTTGAATGAATGAAACTCTGATCCTCTTCGTGCCGCGGCTACATCTTGCAGCCGCTTAGTAGATAACACACTAATTCCCACATTATCAGGGAGCTATATACCAAAAGGCTGAAAGACCTAAATTGGTCTTTCAGACAGATTTACGAATACTAAGTAAAGATTACTTAGTATTAGTAAATTCTGCCCTTACTTGCTATATTGCCACTGGCTGCTCACTGTTAAAAAAAAAAAAAAAATAGTATCCCATCCCCCAACCACCAAGCATGCTGCATGAGTGGGGGCTATTAAATTGAAGGGGGGACCTATTGCCCCCCCCCCGACCCACCCATGAGCAGCGGGTTGGGGCCCTGAATGAAAATGGGGGTGGGGGACCTATTGTCCTCCCCCACCCGACACCCACCCATGAGTGGTGGGTAGGGGCCTTAAATTACTGTCTAAAATGACTAGTCACCCCCATTTTCACTAGGGCCCCCACCCGCCGCTCATGGGTGGGGGACAGGGGGAGGACAATAGGTCACCCCCCTCATTTTCACTTAGGGCCCCCACCCGCCACTCATGGGAGGGGGCCAAGGGGGATCCTATATCCCTCATTTAGTTGAATAGCCCCCACTCACGGGCCATGGGTTGGGGCTCGGGGAGGACACTATGTCCCTCCCGCTAGTTAATAGATGCCTCACTATGGGGCCATTTGTTGGAAGGGGGGGTTTATTTTTACAACAGTGAGCGCCACTTAGTAGACATGGCGCATACTCACGGCATAGCGATTAGGGGCATTCGGGAGATTTCAACCTCCCTTATGCTATTATGGGGGTCATATTGACCCCCATAGAGGGAAGGAGGACATGGGGGGCTTAGGAGGTGGCGGGGAGCACTGCTACCTGTTCTATTTTTACATTTTACAAGGAGGGAGCTGCGCACGGTAGCTCCCTCCTTGTAATAAACTAAACGAACGAAGAAACGAGCACCGATATTCAGTGTATGTTTGTTTGTCTGACATTTCTATTCATTCATTCGTCTTTCTGAATGAAATTCCCATTCAAATGCCCAAGGGTTAAACTGGGAATGCGCTGGAATTTCACAGCGCTATCTAGTGTGGGCAGATGACGTGTCGCACAGGGACTTCATCTAACCACACAATGATGTTGGCACCCAGGACCTAGGTCTGGGCAGAAAATAGAGAATAAAAAATAGGTAATATGGGAGGCTTAGGGGAATTTGGGGTTGACTAGGGGGACAATTAGATGTAGTGGAGTCGGGAGGGGGGGTTAAAAAAAATGTGATTCGGCCATGACAGTGCCAATTTAAGTTTAATGTGTTATTTACAGTGTCTTTGGTTAGAATGTTTGTTGCAATGTAAAAGTAGCTGAAAGGGACACTATGCACCCAGACAACTTCAATGAGCTAAAGTGGTCTGGATACCTAGTGCCTCTTAGCCTTGCAACTGCAATTATTGTAGTTTCTGAGAACCTGCAATAATTACATTGCAGGGTTGAAACTGTCAATATTGGCTGTCAATTAGACAGCCAATAGAGACACTTCTTGATGGTTTGGCGACTTTTGGCTGCCTAACTGATGCTGGATGTCCTCATGTTTTGTATAAGGACATCTAGGGTCAAGCAAAAACCCACAGGAAAGCATTGTAACAATGCTTTACCATGGGGAGGGCCTAATGTGCTTGCAGTATTTGGCGTGAATGCACACTAGCACCCCCATTGGGTGACTTTAAAGGAGGCAGAGCACTTACCCAGCACCTGTGTTGGGTTCAGGAAAGTACAGTAAAGGCTTTTTAACCCTTTCTATGCCAGGTGGTGGTGGTGGTCTGGGGGGGGAGGGGGGGTGTTAGAAATCTATAGTGCTAGGAGGAATACAGCTTTTGTATTCCTAGCACTCTAGTTTCCCTAAAAAATATTTAAAAAATATATAATGCTGTTTTAGATTTTAATTGTAGCATTCAATTAATGGCTTCACATTCAATGAGCAGCTTTGCAGGCTAGACAAGCAGCTAGTCTATAAAAATAGCTTCAGTACACATAAGAGTTGAAACACTTGGCAGCTGATAATCTCCAGACATGTTCCCATATCAATAGGAATCAGTAGCATTTATCATCCAAAAGGAGAAACAGGATGGAAATAGGGCCATTCTTGTTTATAATTTTGATGCTATTTTGTATTTTAGAATGATAAATGGTAACAATTCTTATCAAAATCCTGACAAAGAAATTTACTTTCATTATCTATATTCAGCGGGTGAGAAATTAACTCTTTCATGTTTGTTCTTTTTTAGAAATATTTTTATTTATTTTATTTTCTTACAAAAAAAAAATACTGACAAATGATGAAAAACTTCCCGTGGAGAGGAATTGTTAATATTTTCCTATTCCTTCACCTCTACCAATTCTTTTGAAGTTAGATAATACTAAACTGTTGGAGTTTTGTCTTTTTATCATGAAGGTCTAATAATTTCACTGAGGAACGTGTTCATTTTAATTAATTATTTTTCAATTTTTTTTTTGTGATTTTTATTTCTGCCATCAAAAATATAATTATGCAAATGCCAAGTTTTGTAAGTAGTGGTGCTACCTTAAAGTCCAAAATATATAGAAAATACTGATCAGGGAACAGCAGATACAAACAAATACAGTTTTATATTTTATAAGGCTACTTAAAATCACCTATCTTAGCAAACAAATATGGGGATTCAGTTCCACCAGTATTTCACCGTACCCCAATACTGGTGGGTGGTACACTAATTGTAACATGAGCGATTATGCTAACTGCAATACTTACTGTTAAACCTGCTTCCTTGCTTTAGGCTCTCCTCAATTTATGTTCTCCTCCAAACCTATAGTGGATGGGTGGGATGCTAAACTCAGTAGAAATCTGGTCTGAATTCCAAATCTTCAAAAAAAGGGAAATTGTGGACACACCCAGAATATGCTTTTGTAAGTAGTGCTGCTGCCGTAAAGACCAAAATACATACAAAATACAGACTAGAGAACAGTGCACACACAGAAAAAATACAGTTTTACATTTTACAATGCTATTTAAAATCACCATGTTAGCAAACAAATATGTGAATTCAAGTAAACCATATGGACATATTGTGGCCATATGACAACCTATCCACTATAGATGTCCCTTTGGAGGTAACCACAGGAAAGCATAGATTGAGGAGAGTCTCTGGAAACAGGTTAAGTAAATATTGCAGTTAGCATGTTAATCTCCCATTTTAAGATTGGTGTAGGACCCACCGATATTGGGATACTGTGACATAGTGGTGCGCTTAACACAATATGGCCATATGGTGCAACTGTATCCTCATATTTGTTTGCTAAGATAGGTGATTTTAAGTAACCTCATAAAATGTAATGCTGTATTTTCTTGGGAACAACAAAAGGTCTCTCTGGTCTTCAAAATCCATTCTGTCACATTTTGTATTTGAATTCAGGTTTTTCTAGTGGATATTTTTTTTTCTTTCTTTTCTTTTTCTTTGTGGCACAATGTGATGATTTTTTTTTTTACCATATTTTTATTAAAGGTATCATAACAATTGACAATGTTACAATAATGGTGAAAATGTAACAAAAAGACACAAAAATAGAAATTTTCTTGTATTTCTAACTGATACACAATGACCTCTTCTTTAATACATAGTTTCGATAAAACTTCCATCTACTTCACTTTGTTATCATTGCCTTTTAGGTATTAAATGGTGTTTATAATCTGAAGGCATTTCAACTTCTAACAGAGCTATATTTACAACGTGAGAGAAAAAGACATGCTAAATATTAGCTGATATGTCACCCAGAGATTGAAGCTGACACATGCATTTGTAACCTGTCACATCTGTTCCATATAACAACTTGACGCCTCTGCACTCTTCACTTGTCAGGATTTTACATCATGCACTTTTGTTACGTCAATGTATGCTATATGCGTTACAGGACGGTAAAACAGCCACTGAGAATGTTTAATTATGCAAGAATGTGTGCAAAACATTTCTTTTCTGACATGAGGTGTGGATGAAATGATTCATTCAAGGGAATTTAAGACACAGAATTCTGATTGCATCACTAATCCATCAGCAAGTCATCCCTGAATAAGATCTCTAGTGGATTGTCTTGTGGTAAGCAAAGAAAACTTAAGATGTTCACAAGTCCATACAAAAAGTATGAATTTAACGATCTAGCTTGGCAGTAAAGAAGTCAAAAGTTGCTTAAAGGGACACTATAAGCACCAAAAGCACAAAATCTTAATCTATTAATTTTGGTGCAAGAGCCCTTCCCTGAAGTCTGATAAATTTAAGTGTTGCCTTTCCTGAGAAACTGTAATGTTTACTTTTGTAGGTCAAAATGCCTCTAGTGACTATCCATCGGACAATTAATCAGTAAAATAGATTATCCAGACATATTTTCCATGAGGAGATGTGGCTATCTTTAGGAGACTGTCTAACATTGGATGGAGTAAAAAGTTTAGTTTTTTTATTTAAAAGGTAGAGGGCCCGGGGGCGTGGCCTACCAGCGCATGAGAGCAGATGCGTGAGCCGAGAGCTCTCCTGATCGGCAGCATATACAGCCTGACAAACAGGCTACCTGCCTACAACAACTGGCCCACCATGGGCTCTAAAAAATTAAAGCAAAAAAAGCCCCAGCTCAGCCCTGTGGCACTGCCGACATTGCTGTACAGAATCCAAGATGGCGACGGGCACCCTGCATCCCCGGCCTCATGTACGGATAGTAGCGATACAGACTCCTCAGTAAATAGAATGCTGAAGGAATTGAAGCATTCCCTCCACGCTGAGCTTCACAAGATCTCTGCTGAGGTCAGGACAGGTATACGCGCCATAGGTGAGCGAAAGGCAAGCTTGAAGGATAGGGCAGATGAATTGGTGGATGCACATAATTCATTAGCCGAGGCAGACGCCTTGATAGAGACAAAGCTGCAAAAACTGGAAGACAAATTGTCAGACCATGAGGATAGGTTGACACTGATGATTCTGCGATGCACAGCAAACCCAGATTACCTAAGAGACTCACCAAGGACTGGTCTACCATTTCAAAACCTATTTGAACCTGAATATGGAGTGGTGATGCTACTCCACTTCATCCCGCTCCAAGAAGCAGATCTCACTGTGCTTCTCATACTGATTGCTTACCTTACATAGGTTTCAATGTTTATTGTTAAATACTTATGCTTAAGTTATGACGCTTATTAGTCAAGTGCCTTATCAGATTGCTGCCGAAATGCAAGGGCGATCACCTTACCTTTACTCTAAGTTACCCCCCCACAGTGGCTAAGTAATATTTGGAGCCACATTACCATCCATTATACTACTGCATGACGCTCCTAGATAGCGAACAGAGTACTGTACATAGTTCTATACTTACGTTTGTGATTTATGTTGTTTTTATTTTAATTTCCTCCTTTCATTTATGACCGTGCACACTGATCAGCTCCAAACTTTTGGGGTCTAACATTCTATGGAACATCATACCAGTGTATCAAGGGAAGAATGCCCTGCCTTTATCTATGGTCCTAGTGAGTTTACCCCTGGGAAGGCACAACCCAGATTGGATACACTACTAGACTATATGTGGACGCATAAGTGGCTGCGTGAGAGGGCTTTTCTTCTCTTCCCTATGACCACTGCAATACTGCAAGTCTTGGACAACATCCTTACTACCTTAGAGACAATCCCACTTTCATATCAGGGCCCCTTTGACAGCTCTTAAAGTGGCGTTCCCATGGGTCTCGCTTGAGGGTTGGACACAGAGAGGCATCATGAAGATGCAGGATCTCTACAAAGATGGGGAAGTCATGCCCTTCTTGACAGTGAAACGCACATATGGAATCCTAGATTAGGAAGCATTCCTGTTCCTGCAATTTAGGAGCATACTCTTCTCTTATATAAGACCACACACTGCCCCATTAGCTAACAGAACAATTGCACCATGTTTACTAATAGACAGATGTTGGCAAATCCCTATGAAACCTAAAACCCTCTCCCTGGGCTATAGATAGAGCAGGGCTAGAACTCCTACCAGAATACAAATCAACTTCCCAAACACAATGGGAGAGAGAGTGCCAATGAACATTTTCCGACCAAGAATGGCTCAAAATATTGACTAACGTATCCAAATGGACATCATGCTTTACACATATTGAGGCCCATAGGAAGCTAGCCTATAGGTGGTACCTGACCCCACAAAAATTCCACAGAATATACCCAACGGTCTCCCCTTTGTGCTTGAGGTGTGAGTCAGAAGCTGGCACAATGTTACACATTTGGTGGCAGTGTGCGGGGATACAACCACTTTGGGACACTGTACTGACCCTGCTCACGTCCTTAGACATTAAAAAAGTTCCCTTGAAACCTAATACCTGCATTTTCCTATTGTTCCCAACTACTTTAGATACAAGAGATCACCAATTGGTAGCCTTGATAATATTGGCAGCACAAAACTTAATAGCAACAAAATGGAAGATAGAGAACTGATAGTTGTTCCCATTATAGTTTTAAATTTGCCTGCTATGTTGTCTGTCAGAATACAAAACTACTGATCATTTGTATTCTGACAGACAACATAGCAGGCAACATAGCTGGCAGCCACAGTCTTCATAGTTAATAAGATGTTGGTATGTTACATAAGTAAGATTACCACTATGTATCATAGTTAACCTGCTGGCCACACAGTTGACAGTAAAGCGGTGGTCACGGCATTGGTTATGTATGAACAGACATGTATACATATATGCTGCTTTTCTTTACCCCTCCAACATAAAAAAAAAAATTTCAAAAAAATACGAATTGAAAAAAAGGAGAGGGCCCATATTCTAAACATTAGGGAACACTCCAACATTAAATATAAATGTCTTAATTTTTATTGTTACTGTGTTCCTGTAAATGACTCTTATACAACTACAGATAAGTACTGCCAGGGATGGACTATGGTAAACCATTATGGTCATAACGAAGGATAATACTGATAAGGTACACTATAGAAATATGGCAATTATAACATATTTTGAGGCAAATGTAATATTTAAAACCTAAGGGTTCTATATTATAAATGGAGCACGCCTTTCTGTTGTGGTCAACAATATTTGTCTGTATAGATATCTAAACAACACAAAAGGCATTTATACATTAGAAGAAATGATCGATTACTCTAGAAGGACTAAAAGCATTATCTATGGATACCACCTGCAATCTAAAAATATTATTTGTTCTGTTGTTCAATTTTTGATTATATAAAGCAGAAATAAACAAGCATTGCTTTTTTGAAATGGATGCTAATAGCTCCTTAACTCCTAGAATGTTCCGAATACTGCAGGAAAGGTTTTCTTGTGGCATGCCTTTTACAGTTTTAAAAATAGGTTCACCTGAAGGCCACAGATAAAAGCTATAATGATAATTGAAAGTATTTGGACTTGAAATTGAGGGAAATTAGATGTACTTTATTAATACATTCAATAAACATTTTCTAGAATAATGTTATCACTAGTAATAGTTACAGCAATTATGCAGAGTACTTGGAGAGTTTTAGCCAAGCAAATCACACAATCATTCCGATGCCAAGAGTAGGACAACTGCCAATTGTATAGTGAGCCAAATAAATACTTCCATCCCCCGCATCAGACCAGGAGAAATGACTGCATAAGTATGTATGAAGAAAAGTAAGCACACAATCATTTTTTTTTAATTTCATTTGATCATGCTGATAAATTATCACAAATTCAAAAATGCATCAAAACTGCATTTGATCGTTTTTTTGCTAATATTATGGAGTAAATCTTATATGAGAACACAGTGATTCATATTTCTGACTGTCCCAGAGTTTTTCTAAATGGGCAGACATACATGATCTGCATCATTTGCATTATCTGGGAATTGAGTCTTTTATTTCAACTTCAGAAAATACAAGACTGTTGTTACAAAAGAAGTGTTTACCATTTTATTTGCTTTATTTCTTTTGGAGCATAAATCAATTGATCATGTAAGTATACTAATGATTTAATCAAACTTAATACAACTGTCCTTATTGGACCAACTGCTGTGATTCACCTTTTTTCCTAAGGCACTTGTAATATGATTCAATATTTAACATGTAACAATTAAATTAAATATATAAAATATTTAACCTTTGGGTGTAATAAACTTGGCTAGTTTGACTAGATTCTTAAGAAGTCAGAAAATAATATGAATTGGATATGACACTTATTTATGGTAACAAGTGCATTATCTTAAATGAATGAGCACAGAAAGAAGGGCGGTTGCGCACACAATAGTATATTGCAGTTATAAATTGTTATATCTGGAAAGTACAATCATAAAAAATACATAATATGAAATAGAAAGCAAATTGGAGCACTCACAATATTTAGAGCCATGTAAGTCGGCTCTAAACTATGACGGCATGTAGAAGCATCCACTATTGGTGCTGGAAGCAATGCAGGTCTCCCAGAAAATCAGCGATATTCTTCTGGATAAAAATTACAGGAACCAAGTATAAAGTATAACTCTTTATTACAATAAAAATTTAGCACAACGCGTTTCGACCACTCAAACTTGGTCTTCCTCAGGTGCAATATCTAACAGGTAAATACCATGGACATATATAAGATATATAATTAATACAAATAAAACACACATGGCATAACTTTACAATAATCACACCCATCTTGTCCTTATATGGAGTTTCGTTTTTACTTTGCCACATCTAAAATGGACGGCGGCCGCTGATTTCTTATGTGTAGATATATGCAGTGCCCTTCCCATTCATGTGTGATTAGCTCACTTCTGGTATCGGCTTATGATGTGATTTCCAGCTTGCATCGTCCAAGGGGGTTGTGCAATTCTGCTTTACCATCAATTCTCAATTCGGGGGCGTGTAAAGTTCTTCCTACCCAGTCCGTGATCAGAGAGCTAATAATGCTCGAGATCTCCATGTTTGACAAGGGAAAAGGGTAAGGGCAAATAAATAATATAAATATAAAGTCAGTCCAAGGTTATTTAGTATGTAATATCTATTACAAAATACATATTCAGTAAACATCTTTAATAAAAAACATATTATTTAAAACTATTGTAATTAAAATTAATATACCAAAATAAAAACAATAAGAATAATGTTTAGTATTAGAATAAGACCACAAATATATAATAAAACCAGAAATTAGTAAGCATCCGTATCCAAGAAGTGTGGTTAAAGAATTGGACCAATATCAAAATCTATGTTTAATCCCTTAGGGTATAAGGTCTACAATTCAAAGATCCAAGAGCTTTCTCTTTTGCTGAGATTAAAGGCATCATCTCCTCCTCTCCAGTGAGTTAATACTCTTTGTATAGCCATGAATTCCATTTCTTTGGGGTTAGAATGGTGGACCTCTATAAAATGTTTGGACACACTATGATTTAAGAATCCGTTTTTTATATTTCTAATGTGTTCATTTATGCATATTTTTAGGCATCTTGATGTTTTTCCAACATATTGTAGTCCACATTTACATTTTAAAAGATACATTACATTTTTAGAGTCACATGAGATAAAAGAGGAAACTGAACATTTTTTGTTAGTAATAGAGGATATGAAATTTTCTTTCTTTTTCATTTCAACCTTAGTACTTTTGCAGGCATTGCAGTTGCCGCAATGGAAAAAGCCTTTCTGTTTTTTTGACCAATCTTCCAAAAATGTGTGTACACATCAGAAGAATATCGCTGATTTTCTGGAGGACCTGCATTGCTTCCAGCACCAATAGTGGTTGTTTCTACATGCTGTCATAGTTTAGAGCCAGCGTACATGGCTCTAAATATTGTGAGTGCTCCAATTTACTTTCTATTTCATAGTATGTATTTTCATAGTACCCTATGATAGTTTTTTATGAATGTACTTTTCAGATATAACAATTTATAACTGCAATATACCATTGTGTGCGCAACCGCCCTTTTTTCTGTGCTCTTCATTTATGTAAGTGTTTTTTTGGGGACTAAACACTGGGGTGTGTTCAGACGCACTGGGATATATTATTCACTTGTAAATGTCTTATTAGAGTTAAAGTGTCACTTATCCTTTCTGTGTATTTAAGTGCATTATCTTGTTTATTGTTGTGACCCATGCTCCAAGAGAATTAATTTGACAAATATTAAAAAGCAAACAAATGAAC